CGAATACATCTACATGACACCAATAATATCACTGGAAGCAGGGACAATCTGTTGATGTGTGTTTGAGTGTGTGCGCTGACTGAATCTGAAATGGAGACATGTTCATGCACACTTGCACAAAACAAGTGTTCATTAGCATGCAAGCTTAGTTATATCAGGTGTGTAATGAGGGTCAGACATGTTTGCATTGTGACTAGGACTGCCCTTGACCCAGCCTTCCCCTCCACTGCCCATTAATTTGCTGGATCATTCAGCTCTGTGTTTTTGAAGCCCTCAAGCACCACTTACTAACATGTAATCAAGACTGCCATTCACTGGTTATTGTTCATCTGCTGATACAAAGGGCAGGAGAAACAGTGCTGTAATGCTTGTAGAGACCTGCGTGCGTGCGCCAAGATTTGGCTTTGAAGGCATAGAGGCCCTAGTAACAGTGTTTGTCTTTCTGCACTCGGTACTATAAATGAGGCTGGAGCATATAAACCAACCTTACCCTTCATACACATACACACACTCCTGACTGCAAGCTAGAGGGCTCCAACCCAATCACCAGGCTGGCATTGTGCAATTCTGCAAACCCCAGATATGTTACATTTGTACGTTATTGTCTACCAGATACATTGAAACTTTGATTCTTTACATTTGAGCAGCGCTGTGGTTAATGTGTGGGTAGGTTTAGGCACAAAAATCACTTGATTATGGTTCAAAAAAGATCATGTTTGGACTTAAAATATCCAGTTTTAGTGGCACAATCCCCAACTGGAATTGTCTCAGTAAAGAACATCAGCTTTTCATGGCACTATTCTCAATGAAAAAATACTGTGACATGTGCTGAAAAGCCCTGTTTCCACCTAACGCTTTTGGTATGGTACGTTTGGAAACAAAAGTAACCCTTCAAACATGGTACTTAGACCCTGGGTCCCTTTGGCGTTTCCACCACAGACAAATCCTAAATGTGGGCGGGGCTGTTTTCATTCACTGTTCCACTGAGCAGTCGCTGTATTTCCTCATCACCGGTGACACAGAGGCTGTCTACACCTCGTTTTCGTCCATGGAACGAGGTTGCACATTGACATTTTCAGAAAAGAACAGCCTTGGGTACCTTGGGTATCACGCCATCCACCATCCCCTCTACCTCCTGATGATTATCAGCTGATGTACTATATCACTTTAGAAATGTTTCTGTAATATGTATAAAACATACAAATGTAGCATATTTATGCAGAAATGTACAAAGCCAACATTTTCTTCTTGTGACTGAGCTGATGGCCCACATCACAACTTATCGTGTTATGTTGGCTTTTAAAAGATCACATTTCAAGGGAGTTAGGACGCTGTTATCAAAGTGAGTTTAATGGTGAACACCTAGTAAACATACAGTACGTTCGCACATGCACGCATGTTTTCTTGTATTTATATAGTAATACCTTCCTCCTGGTAACCACATAGGTGGCGTTCAAGGATATATGAGGATATTTTAGTTTATTGCAACATGCTCTATGTTTTTTAGTTTTTCCGCTCGGTTATAACGTACTCACCATAGTAATTGCTGAGCTCTTCAGTGGCGTTACAACAATAAAGTCTAATGGGACAATAACACGAGCAGTCCGACAACCAGGAGCTAAAAGCAAAAGTAAGTACACAGGAAATATTAATGCAGGTTTGCTGTTTAGTAAGAGCCCCTCAGTAGACACAGGAGAGAAAAAATATATGGATAAGCAAAAATTATTTGGGTGATAAAAAAAAAGAACAGAACTTTTGTGATGTTATGCAAAACTTTGTGTTTTCCAAAGATATATTTTGAGTCTCCATGCAGACCTCCTGCAGCAGAGTAACGTGCAAAGGGCTTGGTGAATAGACATGCTGATGACATAGAGATGCTGCATTTGGGTGACACAGTCATATTGGAGAGATCAAGACTTGCCTGTAACCAAATGCAAGTAATCAGAAGAGCTGCAGTTTTTGTGGATAAAAAGAACTATAACATTCGTATTTATCAACCAATTGCAATGATTATTTATGGGCTAATGATCTGCATGTAATAGGGCAAAAAATTGATCTCGATATTTAGGCTATTATCACTGCTGGACGCTCAAAAGACTGTTTGTTCGGCTTAAATACAACTGAATTTCTTAACATTAATATTACGTGGTGTAAAATTAATTAATTGTCAAAAAATTGTAAAAACTCACATTTGTCAAGCATGGATTTGGTGTATTTTCCTTGGTTAATACTTGCAGAGATGTATATATATTATAATATGTTATATTATAGATAATTTATGTGGAAGTAGACAACTTTTAAATTTGCTAGCATCACTCTGCTAATTAACTCCTTGATCATCGCAGAACATAGTAACTTAATCCACTGCTCATTTAAGAAAGACCACCACAAGAAAACGTGTTCTTTGTTTAGATTATATGGACAATGGACCATTTGTGCCTTGCTGCGAGTAACTAGTCATAGCTAGCGTAGCTAGTGCGCTAACGTTGGAGAGCCTTTCTTTTCTCAGGATTGTACCTGGATATAGACGGGAACCAGTCTAAGCGCACATTAACAAAACATGTTTTCTTGTGGTTGTCTTTCTAAAATGAGCATAGTGAAAGTTACTATATTGTCTTATGATCATGGAGTTAATGATAAGCAGACAGCTTTGGCTAGCTAGTTGAAAAGTTGTCTAACATCACTTCTGTTAAATTATATCGGGATAGCTCTACATGTAATTAACCAAGAAAAATAAGCCAAATCCATGCTTGACAAACACGAGTTTTTACAATTCCCCATGAAAATGGATTATTTCACCCCACATAAGTAATTCAGTTCATGTAAGTCAAACACACACTCCTCTTTTGAGCTTTTGACCGCAATTAGAGCCTTAAAATCAAGATTCAACTTAAGTGGAGACCGAACTTTTTTTCCCTACTGCACGGGGATCATAAACCCTTGAATATAAACACAACTCACTGCAGTTGGTTGAGAACTATAAACATTACAGTTCTTTTTATCCAGAACCGCAGCTTCTCTGTTTACTTGCATTTGTTTACTGGCAGTTCTTGCTTTTTCCAGTATGGCAGCGCTGTTAACGTACAATCCAGCGGCTATGTTTCCATATCTATAGCTTAGTGAAGGTGAATATAGTCAGAATCAGCTTGTTGTCAGGTTGTGGTGATTATTAAAAATTCTCTCAGCCAGTTACATCACTGGTCTCTGACTCTGAAACAGCCGTGCCACTGTTAAACGTGATAAAGGCTCTTAAATAAAGCTTTAGTATAATTCAGTTCCAGGTTTAAGGACCCATCCCAGGGACACTATTATGAAGGAGACGTTCATTTACCAGGGTTCATCTTTATCAGCTTTCTTTTTTAGCAAAAGTAGCGTCTCATGATTTATCCTTGGAGTATGTTGCACTGCAAACACTGTTGTGTAAAGTGGGATTTATACCTCTGCATCAAATCAATGTTGTACCTGTGGCGTAGGCTCTGTGTAGATGTGTACCCTATGCCGTAGCCTGACATGCACCTACCCAGAAATGTAACTATACGCTGTGGCAATGCTTACCTTGTGTTTATTTTTGTTAGCTGAAAGCCATTTCCCTCAATGGAAACAAAGCTTTTATTTACTTTTATTTCACAGGTAAGGAACAATAAATTCAATAAAAAGACAATAAAGCCTCCAAAAAACAGCAATTTAAGTTCTGTGTGTAATTTATCCAGGTTTCATATGAGTAGAGGAAATATCCACTAGCCCCTATGCTAATTTATGCAATGTAAAATGCTGTAGGCTTATGCTAATAGTTAGAATGTTGTACTGTATTTGTAGGGATAATATTTTCTGTACAAGACTGTTGTTTTGTTGGTGAACCTTCTGTGTTGTAATGGAGCTGAATTTTGTAACATTACCTTTGTTTAATGTTGCTGTTGTTCCTGGCTTCATACTCTGCTAGCCGCTAGGCTAATTTCTACAATGTAGAAATCACTCTGTGCCATAGGCTTGTGCTAATAACGTCAACATGTTGCATTTGTAGGGAAATGTGTCCAGCAAAAGACAGGTGCTTTGTCTGTGATTCTTATGAGTTACAGTGGAGCCGATTTGTGTACTTCTCTTTAAAATTATCGCCATGAAGCCATGTTTCACGTTTCAGGTGTGTTTTTAGTCAATCAGACTTTACAGGACAAAACCTTACCTTACAAAACTTTACAAAAACCCCGCTGCCTACTAGTGTTTTGGAGATGTAACTGCAGAGCGATAATATGCGATGCTGACAGCGATGTAGGCAATGTGCATAGGCTATGTGTAGGGCCAACGCACAACTATGATGTATCATGTACGAGGTGAGATACATTGAAATTATTACTGTTATACTCTATCTGACTGTAGGTGCACATTTGTGGTCATGTGTGTTTATTTAGTGACATTCTGAATCATTCTTCCTGAGGTAGGCCAAAGCTTTTCATTTGCAGAGCTCATTATCACTTTTAACGGTGGCACAGCTGATTCAGCGCCATGAGACCAGTGATGTAAATGACTGTGAGAGTATTAAATAATCACCACACCCGCTGATTCAGACTATATTCACCTTCACCAAGCCCTTTGTTGCACTGCTGCAGGAGGTGAGCATGGAGACTCATGGAAACTTTTAGTCATCTGTTTTATTTCTCCCCCATGTCCCCTTAAACTACCTTTTTGTTAGTTTTCATGTGGAACTAAGTAAGTAAATTAGGTCATTGCAGGAAGCTGGAAAATGTTTACAGTGGAGAGTTTGGGATAATAATTGTATCTTTCACCTTTTTTTTTCTCCCCCCAAAAAAGTATGACAAACCTGGAGTTTTGATCTTCTGACTGCTCATGTTTCTTGTCATGTTGGACGTTGTTGTAGTGATGTCAGTGTTAATGTGAAGAGTGATCATTTAACAACACAACTGGGTATTAACATTTTATCTCAGGTTTTTCTTTCCTCTCCCTCACATCCATTGTTCTTATTTGTTCTTCTGTTTTATTTACAGGCACATCATTCTCCCTCCATGGTCAATCTGCCTTCCATGTTTGAGAGGAAATACCACACATTCAGTCGTTCGACCACCCACCTTTTCTGATTGGGAGCACCAGCAGGAGTCATACCATCTTTACCTTGACTGCTGCTAACAGCAAGTCTTAACCGGACAGGCGTATGTGTATAAAGTTAAAGCTACCTGTAAATTATGGCAAACTAGCATTTGTCTATACTGGAGCTCCTCATAGATTTTTCAAACCTACAGGAAGTGGCATTTAGCCACATTTGGAAAAATGCACTGAAAAATTCACAATCGTCCAGCTACTGTTAGAGTGCTTCACAGCTGAAATTTGGGCCCAGAAGGGTTAAAAAATAAACCAGTTGTTTGTCAATCTGATGCCTAATGTGATGCATTCAGCTGATACCGCCCACATCTGACAAGGCAGTATGGTGTATCTTTCCAAATGCACAATGCTTGAACTAAGACTGTTTTACTAAGAGCTAATTGGATCTGTACTGCACCATGCTAGGGGCTACAGCTGTGTGGTCGCCATTGGAATGTAAGTTTGCCTTACCCTTAAAAAGATGAAGGATGCTCTGCTTTTTGTCTGCAGTTGTTAATGGATTATTTTGATTTATTTGTTAATATACTTCATCAAATCTTGTGTTGATAAGTTGCCTGTTTAGCTTCCTGGTTGGTTACCATTGTTGGAAGTGTTAACACTAAATAAAAATCACATCTTTTCTCTCAGTTTTAAATAGGGACTTTGAGTTGTCCCCAGGTGTCCCTGGATGCTATTTTTATTTCCTTGTGCTTTGGTAAAGTAAAATAACATTTAATTTTGAGATGTTTAGGTATTTCTATATAACAAATGCAGATTGTTAAACTTTTTGTGTTTCTGACATACTAAAGATACAGGGTTGACTTCTCTTGCCCTTTACTTTGAGACTTTTTTTAAATTAACCTACTCAGTAAGAGACCTTTATATTAACTGACATTAAATGTTTTATTTTAGTGGGGTAGACTTAATTTCACCTGATATAATAATATGGTAATTATCCCATCCTCAACATTTAAAGCTATGATAGCTTCCAGCTTTTATAAAGCTTGTATTTGGCATCCTTTAGAGATTTGTTGAGGAGAACAAAAAGCATTCCTGCTCTTGTTCCCTGTACGGCCATTGATGTTTTAAAAGATCTTTTTAAAGTGTGTCTGTGCGTATCTGTGTGTGTGTTTAAGAAGGAAGGCTGCGTCAGTGTACATATTTATTCTTAAAGAATCCTTTTTTTTTTTTCTGTTTCTTTTTCCTGTTGCTATTTATGTTGTTTTCTGCGTGTATGTCTGTTTTTTCTGTAATGCTGTTTTCAGTGAGCTCCAATGGTCTCCTGTTGTTTCATCTCTGTATTAAATGCACTTAAACATGTACGTTAAGATTTTTTTTTTTTTTTTTACTCCGGTGTATTTGTCTTTTATCACCAGAACATTCTTAAAACAATTCAGTTTATTTGTAGGGGATGCTGACTCAATATACCAAGTCGTTTGTGTCAAAATAAATAATTTTATTTCCTTTTTATGTCCTGGAGTACTGTGTGTGTCTGCACACTTAAAACACACCAACAGGTTCATTCTGTTGACAATGTTAATTCCGATCCTGTAAAAGCTGATCTTAATTCTGCCGAAACCATCCCTATTTGCAAGACTAGATATCATTGATAATTAACCAATTACGCTGCTTCAGTGGGGCTTGAAATAGTCTTGGAGCTTCCACTTGAGTTTGGGATCTTTGAAGGCCTGTTTGTGATTTGCATACTACTTTGAAGCAAGCTCATGATTGCTCCTCAGTACTTGTCTGTACTTCTTGCTCATTTGATGTTGGAGTTGGTTCAGAAGATTCTGGATCCCCCTACACTAAAAGTGCACTTTCCCAGTTTCCCTTGGAAACTGCTGCTGTTTCAAATTCACTTTTGAACCAGCAAAGTCAGTCCACAAATACTGAGAAATGGGCCAAACTGAGGAACCAGAAGCTTTTTTGTTAGATTTTGACAGTGATAAGATGAAAAAAAAAAGTATTGAAGTGCCTGTTAAACCTTGTTACAATATCTACATTTACATCTACCAAATAGTACATTTTTTTGCCCTAATGGTTCGTGTTACTGTTTACTGGCACATGGTAAATATGCTCTGTTCTTTAAACATTGGATTGTGTTGTAATTGTGCTAACTGGCCAACTAGTGTCAAGACAGTCTTCCAGTTTTCCATTATTTAAATGACGATGACAGATTTATGTGGTCTGCTGTAGGGTATGTCCTCTCATGCAGGCGTAGAACATACAGTTCAGTTTGGTGTGTTCATGTGCAACTTTGCTTGTTTTCTTTAAAACATAAGCACTACACTCGCATTTTAATTCACATCAGTTGTGGTAATGGGAATCATACCCTTTAATAATTAGTGACTTTGCACTAATAAATATCGCAGGCAGATCAGGCGGGTGGGACAGAGTGACAAAGCAGCATTCAGAGTAAGTTAATAACTTACAGAAACACTGCATTAAATAGTCCATCTTCACCTTCACCCCGCTCTCTCTGTCTCTCTCTAAACACAGACACACAACGTGGAGAGTGCCGTGACATTCGTCCCTGTCCTCAGTCCTGACAGTTGTGCTATTATAATGCATACAGTTCGTGGGTCGGGTTGTTGTGTATTTTTAGCATCCCATGCATCTTGTTTGTTTTATTTATTTATTTTTTATCAACCCTTGATGCTGCTAAATATGACAGCTGGTTTGGTGTTCACTTTCTGTAGAAGTCCCTGCACTGCGAAACAGGGTTTTTTTTTTTTTTTTTTTTTGCATTCTTGACTTTATTCTCTCGATTTCATCTTCTTCAGTTTCTGTGTGTACACCAGAGGCGTTTCTAGAATTTAAGGACATATGGGGCATAGCCTGGTCCAAGGATCCTCTCCCAATAATTATTTTCTTTGAAAAGGCTCTATTTTGATGTTTTTACATGCACTCTGGCGTCTTATTTACAAATTGTGATTTTAAAAATTTGAGTAATTGGAAGTAATTAGTATTGAGTAGAAACAGAATACTTTGCTGCTATCATTAAAATCTAGAGAATTTTGAGGTAGGCTACTTGTACTTGAGTATTTCCATTTTATGCTTCTTTATACTTCTACTCCTCTACATCTCAGAGGGAAACACTGTACGTTTTACTCCATTACATTTATTAGTCTGCTTTACTTACTTTGAAGACTCAGATTAAAAATACAAAATATAATCAACTAATGAATGATGATGTATAATTCCTAGATGATTATTAATGTGTAATATTAAAGAAAGTCTTTAACAAGTGTTTACTTGTGTGCTCTCTCTCTTGCAGGTGTGGAAATGATCACACAAAATGTGCTGCTTGACCCAAAACTTGTGTTTTTGATCAATGATATATTAATTTTGGGGGCTTCAATGCATGACGAGAATGACAGATTATTAGATAAGGGGGTATTTGTTTGTATTATTAGGCCTAATCTTATTTTTGAAATATACATATAGACTATATATTTAGATCTGGCACTATTGATAAAACATTTGGGAATGAAGCCTCGGACACCCAGGCCTAACATCGCCACTGGTGTGCACAAGGCCCTGCAGTCTCATGCCCTTTTATGACAATTTGCGGAGCAAATGCTTAATAGGGTCAACTTGCATGCACAATTAACTTATGAGAACGCAAGTGTGAACAGTTGTAGGGTTTAAAAACACGCCATGAATCAGACAGATTTTTTTTAGGATCTTTCTTAAGAATACATATAAGAAAAAATCTTAAGAAGGTATAAGTGAATAAGGTCCAATGAGCTTGAAGACATTACAGTGCTGAGTGGAGAACAGCAGATGATTTACAACTACGAACAGTCATCCCTTAGGACCTTACCAATGTGTTGTCAGAAGTTATGCTGTCAAAATTAGAAAATTGAAAGGTTAAATCCCTGGGGAGCTGTGTTTGCATTGTGAAACTGAGGGCACAGGTTACAAAACCATTCATACTGATTTACACATTGAGTTATTTTTCCTACCATGTGAGCCCTGAGGAGCCTTGTAAGGATCTAATAAAGGAGACTACAAAGTTGTTTTCTGAACTTTGACACAACTAAACTCATGTACAGCACAACCAAACAATAAGAATAAAGAAGTGAGTCAAAAGAAGTACAAGTTGTAATTAGAAAAGTGCTACACTTCTGTACAGTGAGTTCAGCCACCTCCTGCACAGCCAGACCTTCGCTGTGTGTCCTCTTGCCTTTAACTTAACTATAATCACATTAGTTAACCTGTAGTCAGCTGACTTCTTCACACTGTGTCAAGGTGTGTTTTGAATGGCAAGCCTTTAAATTGAGCCACATTAGTATTTATGACACAGCAGAGGGCCGGGAAGAAAGTGCTCTTGTTTTGTCCTCTTCACATACACCTCTTCAAAGCATTAGAAGATAATCTGTGTCTCCTGGATAAAGCACAGGACGTGCCAGGCTGCCAGCTAGTGACTGGGGTAGAGTGCCATGCAGGCCCGAGGCAAGGCGAGACTGGGGAATAGCCACAATGAAAAGGCACCTCTTCAAGGAGGACACTCACTCTTTTCATATTTGCCTTTGCTTTCACTTCAAAGTGCCTCTGACTGGCTGTTTAGGGGTGAAACGAAAAGGGAGACGGGCTAAAAGCAGGAGGTAGGGGGGCTGGAGCTGAAGTGGTAGGGGTCTGCTGACTTCAAGGTAGCATCATGAAGGACACAGTCCCAGACTAAGGTACAGACTACAATTAATACACAGGCCAGTCTCTCTAAATACTGTAATTGAGATAGATGTCTTAGACAAATACTCTGCTCTGTGCATGAATATGACAGAAATATATTTCCCCTCTATAAACAGATTACACAGAGGAGACAAGACTAGAAAGAGAGAGTAGTTTGACATTGAAATTCCTCAGTGGAAAGTGAGGGTGTGGAGATTGGACCTATCTAATGTAAAGGAGTCCTCTACTGTGAGAGAAGTTTTCCTTTTCAGTCAAAGTTTCTCTTATTTAACCATGACCCAAAACTTAGCCTAACTTTGAGCAAATCTTGGAGGTTACTATACAGGAGGATTAAGAGTTTTTAGATTATGGAAACTCCCCTGGTAAACTTGAAAGCAGAGGCGTGTTCCCCCAGAGGCCGAGGAAAGCCATACTGTCAGAATTATTGAGGCCACTGTCATAATTTTAAAGACATTGGGTCTCATTCATGAAAAGTGAGTAAATCTGTGTGTAGATTTGCACATAAAAGCCTACTCTACTAAAAACCTACTCCGGATTCAGGAACGCCGCGGGAAACTCAGATTTGATCGTAAACAGCGCGCCCCCGGTAATCAGCAATTAGCATAAATCCCCGCCCATGAATAGCCAATGACCACCATATAAGGAGGTGTAGGTGCATCCAGTCGACCTGTCAGTCATGGCGCAAACAAAGAAAGAGAGTGAAAGAAAAAAGAATTTTTCCGAAGCGGAGATCGAAATAATTTTGGGTGAAGTGGACTTAAGAAAAAACATTTTATTTTCTGCAGTTAGTAGTGGTGTGACAGGAACAGACAAAGCGAAGGCCTGGAGGGAGGTAACAGATGCTGTTAATGTTGTCTCCGTGGTACAAAGAACCATGTCAGAGGTGAAGCGTAAATGGTTTGATATGAAACTGGAGGCAAAGAAACGCATAATAGGCCGTAAGGTGAATCAGAAAAAGTCTCACAGAAACTGATTTCCGCTCCGACATCTAAGAGTGGGCTACAATGAGTACCGGGCCATCAAATCACAGCATCCGTGGTGAAAGGACACGGAATTGTGTGCGCTTTTACGCACGCGGGTGTAGGTGATCACGGATATTTTATGTGGGAAAGATGTAGCCAGATGTATTACCTGTTTAAGATACGTGTCTGTCTGTCTGTCCATCCGTAGCACGAGTCATGTGCGCCACTTCACCACCGACCCAGCGAATAACGCTCAGGCGGAACAGATCATTACGCTCAGATGGAACAAGTGCCGAATTACGACCCCGATCACAGGACTCTTGCGGGGTTATGAGCTACGAACTCCTGCTGATTAGCTGAACATGTATCGATCTTTTTTATGGAGTAAAGATCGTGTAGTCCCCAGATGTCGGAACGAGATGAAACGATAACTGCGTTCACCTTAGGCCTATAAGCACACACAAAAATACAGCGGTCACCAAACAAACAGAAGATTCATTTGTGGAGTTTTGAATGAAGTGGGAACGGCCGAAGGCCCAAGAGGCTGTGATCCAGCTGTCCTTACGGATATTTTTATTATCATCACTCAACATGTAGAAAGAACGTGTAATCTATTGAGTCGATTTACATAGATAATTCACAATCATGAACCTAATCTGGATCTTAAACCTGCTAATTACCAACTAATTTAACTAAATGTGTTATATTTTTAATATTTTGTCATGTTTAGATTACGTGTTTCAAAGGCATCTGTGTATTGTGTACATAACAGAGCGCAATACGGGTTAAAAAATGTAATTTCCAATGGTGACA